TTGGTACTTTCTCAAGCTCAAGATACCAAGTCCCAAGGACTAGCCTTTCCTTCTCAAAGGATGCAATTAGAGATCATTTGATAAATTTTAATATTTGTTGGTTTGTTTTTTCTTAAACCCATGGTGAGCAAAGAATAAAAGATATTTTCCTTAACCTGCTAAAAGATACCTACCAGGAATCTCGGCAAACATCTTACTTAAAGGTTTTCTTAGAAGTCAGGAATGAAATATGAATGCCCATTATCATGGCTTCTATCAATGCTGGAGGTCCTAGGGGGGAAAAAAAGAAAGAAACTACTGCCTCATCCAGAGGTGTAGGAAAACAGGCATTCTCGTAGACTGCTTGTATGTTAAATTCAATCTTTAAGGATGGCAATTTGACTATATACATATATATTTGTTTTTTAAATGCACATACTTACTGACCCTGCAACTCCACCATGATGAACATACCCTAAGAAAAGTCTTAGGGCTGTACACAGAGATATAAGTATTAGGGTCTTCTCTCCAGCACTGCCTACAACCAAAGCCACCTGTCTGAGATACACACTACCATACATAAAGTAGGTAATCAGCAAGCATTGACCATATACCACAGGAAACTATATTCAAAATCTTATAACAACCTATAATGGAAAACTGTACAAATACAGATAGATGTGTACAACCAAATCAGCTTGATGTACACCTGAAACTAACACAATATCGTAAATCAGCTATACTTCAACTTAGAGAAAAACCACCTGGTTGACAATGAGGCACTGGATATGTGAATTCTGGCATGAACACATTATGAAATACTAGCCCCTGAGAACGATGCTGGGGAGGAGCATATGCTGGAAGCAAAGCTTCAGCTAGTTTCCCCAGTATAACTTTCTGCAGAGAGTGGCATGGGTGTACACACACACACAGAGAAGAACATACTGGAAAGACCCATGCTAGGATACCAGTGATTCTTTGTGCCGTTTTTCAATTTTTTTTTAAAACCTGTCACTTTTCTAATTAAGAAACATATTTAAAATGCTGCCTCAGATGATGGCTGTGGGCAGCAAAAGAAAGTGGCACAGAAAGAGTGAAGGGAGATTGTGTGAGGGGAGACGGCAGCAGCTCTAAGCCGGACCACGGCTCTCTGTTCATCTAGAAGCCATAAGACCAAAAAGCTACATTATGTCCTTATTGCTCGGTTTTATTATAACAAAGAAAAATGACAGATCTACATGTAGCTTTAATACACAAACATACATTCACACACATATAGACATTCTTGAGGAAACTTCTTATTTATATTCAGGAACCCATCATTCTGCCAAGTCCTTGGCAGATCATAGGCCACCCTGCAACCCAGATGGACTTTACTGGGCTGTTTCCTTGGTTCACATGACCCAGGCGGGGTTAAGCTGAAGAGAAAAGAGAAGGGGGTGGGGAATGTCACAACAGCATTCGTTGCATGCACTCAGATAAAAACAAAAAAAGTCACAATAGCTACAACCATGAGAATATTTATGCATATATCTTTGTAATCAATACAGTTCTTCAGAACAAGAGAGACCAAAAAAGGGAATACAACAGTCCAGTTACAGCCCTATAGGTTGACATTACAATCTAGGTTTAGATTATCTGGAGGCTTTTCAAAGAGGACCGAGGTGCAGAGACATCTGGAGCTGACTCCCGACGTAAATGCTGACAGGGCACAGACATTTCTAAACAATAAAGAAACCACTACTTGGTAAGTACTCCTGGTGCTGGCATACAGTGTCCAATACAAAGGAAGGTGAAAGTCCTTAGTGTTCTTCGTACATGCTGTGTGGTAGAGGCGACAGCAGAGTTCTTTATTTCCTAAAGTCGGCAAAGTTCATAAAGTGACTAATTCACATGGTGATGACATAGTACAAGCATGCACTTTAACGGTACAGAGTGCTTTAACAGGAATCTGTCGGTTTTTAAAATCCCAGCAAGGTCATTTTTACTTCAAAGGACTATTATCGTCTCAGTCATTTTATTCATTCATTCAGCAGATACTTCTTGCAAACCACGTGCCATCTCATCCATCCCTTTCTCAGGAAGACCAACACTGGGAAACTGGTACAGCAGGTGCTCCTAACCCTAAGAGCGGGTGGTAGACAGTGATGCACAATCCTCAGAACTGTAGTAAGTGGCTACACCGCATTACCCGTGTCCCTGAACCCGGAACCTCTGGGAGCTGGGAACTTGGAGCTGACTCAAGAGAAGAAAGAACAATTCTCTATTCAAGTCAGACATCCCTCAAGGAGGACATGACTATTCTGACTCACTTGAGGCAGGGGAGGAGAAAAGAATATAAGGTGGAATCATTCTTAGCTGTAAAGTGTAGCAGATAGAAGAAAACTGTGTCATTTGCTTAACTTTAGAAAAGGCAGTGGGTCTCAGCCCAGAGTGGGGGGAGGGGCATATGCAAATTAATCCCGACTCTCCACCTACACACCCTCCTCAAGACACAGGCTGTGGGCGTGGCTGCTTTTTAAGAAGCTGCATACTAACTTCGGATGGTATAGAATTCAAGATCAAAACCGCAATAACTTATTAGTCATATTTTCCATCTTCAGTTCTTTGGCGGGCAAAAACACCACAAAAGGGGTAACTCTTCTTCTCGCGCATCATTCTTGTGTTTTCTGTTCAAAAAAGCCCGCACAACAGCATTCTTATACAAACTTCACACGTTATATTTATATAAAAATTAGTACCTCTCATAGTAAAAACCCTTCCTAAAACTGCAGCTTTGGTTTCCAAATTAGCAATCCAGTTAAGCTGAAATCAATATTGACCACATCAACAAAATACCTGCAAGCCTGGCCAAGGTTTTTGAGAAGAGGATGAAGATGCTGAGTCTATTCTTCTAGTGATGGTGGGAGGAGGGGATTGAGGAGTGAGCCTTTAGTCCAGCCAAATAGCAGCTACGTAAAGCATTCTTAAAATGAACCACCTTTTCAGGTAAGAAGGTCAGAGCTGGTTTTATGAAACGCCATCACAGGACTCTGTACCATCTGGAGAAAGGTTCTTGGAGTCAGGAGGGAGTGCAGCGAATGGTTTTCCAGTCTTGGTTTCTAAAACCTACGTAGCCAATGCATTTGTGTATAAAGAGCATGAAACCCGCCGATTGCACCGGAGGGAGTGTGGCTGAGTCACACTGAGTACCGGGAATACTGACCTTGAGTATCTGAAGTGCTACTTCCCCTCTGTGCAGCTCAGAACTCCCATCTGCATCGTGGGGATAACAGGTGGTGTCTCTGACCCGCTGGGACGAGGGGAGGAACGGGTGAGAGAGAGCCAGAAAGCACTGGGGCCTTCTACAGGGAAAGGCAGTGTTCCAGTAACAAAGTACCTCAATCAAGAAAAAGCACAAAATTCAAGTAACAGTTGTAGGTGCTATGTTCTGGCTTTTGAGCAGAGGCTTCCTGCATCTGCAGTGGAGAGCTGGTAGGTAAATGAGCTGCGTGGCACAGGATGCCAGACAAGCTCCATGTAGAGCCCATTAATCACCCCACCACTGAGGACCAAAACTCTCCTTAAGAGGAGAACGCCAACCTCGGGGAAAGCTTAGTGGAATTAGCAAGCTGCTCAGAGCACTTGCTTAATGCCTATCCCATTTGTGTCCTCTGCGTAAGATCTTCAAGTTGGTGGTCGACTTTCATTTCAACAGATAAAGGTTTTCTTCATTTTGCAGGCGGAAATAGAAGGTGAAAGAAAGGCTGTCTAGATTTTTCTCCTGCACCTTGGTGGAAGGATAAAAACCAGTTTTGAGACTGGCTGAAAGAAACTACAGAAGGAAACACACACACATACAAACATTCCCCTCAGTAGGGCATGAAGAGAGAAATGGGAAGTTTTTTTTGCAACTAAGAAACTTACTTTCTTGTTACAGCTTCTGACCTAGCAAGCTGGTGTGTGCATGCTTGAGTATTGAAAACACCCAGAGAACTGGAAGGTTTTGGGGAGGGGGTAGTCGCGGGGATCCCGCAGGCCCTCAGAACAGGAGAAAGGAAAAGGGGTTAACAGTCTAGATACAAAGTCTTTTTTCAACAGCTCACAATGAAAAGTTGGAAAAACTTCACACGTTAAAACCACAATTATTTATTTCACCACAAGAACCCACTGTATTAGTGACTGGTGGATGGGAAGATGTTCCCATTCTAGCTCCCATTATAAAACTTCCAATTCCATCTTTATAGACTGTTGCTCATCTCTGAACCAATCTAT